CCTAGCTTTGGCCCCCTTCCCTACCTTGGGGAGGTGAACCTCTCTCTCTCTCTCATTTACTTTCTAAATAAACTATATTTTCTAATAAAAACAAAAGAAACAGACCATTACCAGTTCTTCAGAGGCCTCCCAATCTTATCCACGTCCTCGCTTACCCCTCCAGGAGTTACCACTCTGACACCTAGTTAATTACCCTCTCACTTTTCTATAGAGTTGCACCTCATATGTGTGCATCCTTAAACAACATGTTTGGTTTTGTCCTTATTATAGTGGACTTGTACTGCATGTAGTTTATGTAATTTCTTTTAATCAAATTGTTTTTGAAATATATCCATATTGATGATTGAAGTGATTGTTCATCCCTTTTCAACCCTTTATTATATTTCATTTTTAAGAAATCATTCTACTGTTGATAAATATTGGGTTGTTTCCAGTTTGTGGATATGATAACAGTCACAATGCTGCTATGAACATCCTTTTACACAGGGCACGTTTGTGCTAAAGCTTATTGTGTGGCATACATACTGAGAAGGAGAATTGCTGGGTCGAAAGGTATAATCACCATGGTCAACCTGATCAAGTAACAGCAGAATGGTTCCCCAGTTTACACTCCACCAACAGTGGGTGAGAGTTCAATGGCTTCTCAGTCTCACCAATACTTGCAACAGACTATGAAGTGTTGCCAATCTGATTGAGCTGAAATGTTATACAATTGTGGTTTAAACGTGCACTTCTAGGGTTGCCAATGAAGTTGAGCATCTTTTCATATATTTATGGGTCAATATTTGTTTGAAATGTCTGTGTCTTTTACCAGTTTTTCTCTTGAGACGTTTATTATTCTCTCATTGATTCGAAGGTTTCCTTATGGACATTAGTTATGGAAAATAATTCACTGACCAATATTTGTGTGGCAAATATTTCCTTTAACCTGTGACTTATCTTCTCATGATCTTTTTTGTCTTTTGATAAAAACACATGCCTAATGTTAATATAGTCAACTTTATAATCTTTTCTTTTATGGCTTTGTTTCTAGCATCTTGTTCAAGAAATGCTTTCAGGTCAGGTGTGGTGGCTCATGCCTGTAAGCCCAGCAGTTCAAGAGGCCAAGGCAAGACGATTGCTTGAGCCCAGGAGTTTGAGACCAGCCTAGGCGACATAGCAAGATCCTGTCTCTACAAAAACAAACAAGCAAACAAACAAAAAGCAAAGCAAAACCCACTGTGTTGGGAAGCTTTGGAGGATTGCTTGAGCCCAGTAGGTAGAGACTGCAATGAGCTGTGACCATGCATTCCAGCCAGAGCCAGCAGAGTAAGACTCTATCTCAAAAAAAAAAAAAATCCTGTTTCCTGCAAGTCTTTGTAGATGCCCTTTCCTAGATTATAGTTATATATTTTTTTCTAGTATTCTAAGAGTGGTTTTATTAGGTTGTTAATTACTAATATAATAATAGCAAACATGTATTACCATGTGTAAGGACTGTCCTAAATGTTTTACATGTATAAATTATTTTAATCCTTACAACTCACCTATGAGGAAGGTGCCAATATTATCTACATCTATATAGATAAGGAAGGAAACTGAACGTCAGAGAGATGAAATAACTCAGTGAAGGTTACAGAGCTCCTTAATAGCATAATCAGCATTCAAAACCAGGTAGTCTGGCTCCAAAGTCTCTGCTTGTAACACTCTCTACTGCCTCTCACTGGGTGTTGAGTTTTATTGAATCCTTAATCTACATCTATTAAGATGATTGAATGGTTTTTCTTCTTTAATTTATCAATGTGGTGAATTACATTAATAATTTTTTCTAATATTTCTAATGTTAATATTAATATTAACTCAATATTGCAACTCTGTATCTTGGTCATGATGTATGAGCATTTTTCCTCCTTGCTGTTAAGGATTTTGCATCTATGTTGATAATTAGATTTGCCTGTAAATTTCCTCCTTTATACTGTCCTTGTGATTCTAGTACCAAGATTAGGCTAATCTCATTTAATAAACTGAAGAGTTAATGACAGCAAGGCTGGGCACAGTGGCTCATGTTTGTAATCCCAGCACTTTGAGATCCCAATGCTTTGGGAAGATCGCTTAAAGCCAGGAGTTCAAAACCAGCCTGGGATCATAAGGGAAATATTATATATAACTTTATGCCAACAGATTCAACAACTTAGATGAAATGAACAAATTCTTTGAAAGTCACACATAATCAAAGCTTATTTGGGGATACATCGGTAGCTTGTATAACCCTACACATCTATATAAAAAATGGAATTTGTGGTCAAATCTTTCCCACAAAGAAAACTCAAGACCCAGTAACTTTATTGGTAAATTCTACCAAACATTTAAGAAATATATTATAACAACTCTATATAAACTTTTCCCAGAAAATAGAAGAGTAAATGATAAAGAAACCAAATATAGATCCACACGTATATGGCCAATTGGTTTTCAATAAACATTCCAAGGTAATTCAATGGAGAAAAGGTAAGTCTGAGAGAAAAAAATAATTCTCCACTCTTATCTCACACCACATACAAAAATTCACTCAAAATGGACAGACTGAGATGTAAGAATTAAAGTCATAGAACTTCTAGAAGAAAACAGGAGAAAATCTTTGTGACCTTGGGTTAAGCAACACTTAGTCTTAATGTATAAATGAAAAACCAAGTGTAGATAAGTGAAAGGTCTTGCTGGAGATTACACAATTAGTAGCAGTAGCAGAACTCGCCTTTAAATTTATACTCAGACTCGATATACCTGACTGACAAGAGCCTTTGTTTGTTTTTTTGGCTTTGTGTGGAAATGAATGAAAATGCCCCAACTGCTCCTTTTCCCTTCACATTCCATCTCAGTTATAGAAGAATGCTAGCCCCCTCCCGGGGACAAATCTTGCTTGACCCAGGATTGGCACTCAGCTGTTCCCCACAAAAACAGACCACTGCTTCTGCTGTCCCAGGCCTGCTACAGCAGGAACTCTGCCTACACAGTGGTTGGTACCCAGAGCACATGTATCCGACTGGTCCAGGCATGTTTCCCTTTGGCGTTAGAGCTAAAGGACTGTGATAGCTACATAGGTCACCCTGAGTTGTCCAAATGGAACCCCTCGCCAGTCCTTGAGCCCTATCTGTGCTTTTCTGCCTCCTTGCCTGTGCTCACAGTGTCTGCCCAGTTCCTATTTATCCTTCAAGGATGTCACCACCTTGGGAAGCCCTCCTTGGTGCCCTTCTTAGAGTAAGCATCACTTGCTACTTTGGATTATGGCTCATGGTGTACAAGTCTTGCCTCTCAGCTGTGGATTCCTTGAGTAGGACTCACATCTGAGTTGTCTTCAAATCTCCTTCTATAGTGCCTGTTCCAGACAAATGAAGTTGTCTCATGCTGCCATCCCTGGATACTATCTTTTGTCCTTGTATCTCTTCAGGAGGTCAGGCTTCTGCACCCACCCTTAGAGGTGCAGAAAGTTTTCTCTTCTCACCTTTGCATTATGAGTGCCTGGTCAGGGCTAGGTATGCCATGGGCACTGAGTCATCCCCTCTGTGCAAATTCTCTCTCCTTTTCTGAAACTGTAGACTGTGGGCCTAAAGCCCTACCATCCCACAATTCCCGGACCCTACAGCATGAAGAACACTTATGAGGACAAGAGCAGCTCCAAGAAAAATGGTTCTTGCAGGTTCTATGGTGGGGGCAGGAATGAATCATAACCTACATGGACAAAGGTCATCTGGTCCGTTCCCCTGCCTCAGAGGGACACTCCTGGTCTATTTGGGGTGGGCAATTATTTCTCCAGTTCTGAAAACTCTCCTTTAGTCCCATGAGGGGGGACAAAAAAACCTTGGGATTTATTTATTAAAAATTGTGTATTTATTCTTACATGTTTAAACTTCAATCACCTTCAAAGTACTTTTTGTTTGATGCAGTACATCTATGGAGATTTTTTTTCCACTGCTCATAACAGTTCCCAAACTTGTCAATTTTGATGACTTTTAGTGCTTCTGCCATTTTTTGCTGCACCTCTTCCACATCAATATTTCCCTTTGAGCCGGGCTTGGTGGCTCAGCCTGTAATCCCGCGCCTTTGGGAGGCTGAGGTGAGTGGATTGCCTGAGCCCGAGGGTTCGAGACCCGCCTGGGCAGCGAGACCTCATCTCTACAATAAATGAAAAAATAAAAATCAGCCGGGTGTGGTAGCACATGCCTGTAATTCTGGCTACTTGGAAGGCTGAGGTGTAAGGATCGCCGGAGCCCAGCAGATCGAGGCTGCGGTGGCCGGAAGCGGTCACTGCACTCCAGTCTGGGCGACAGAGTGAGACTCTAACTCAAAAATAAAAATAAAAATTTCCCTTTGAGGAATGTTTTCATCCAGGGAAACAAACAAACAAAAAGTTGCTCAGGGTAAGTTTGGGTGAATAGAGAGGGTGGAGCATGGAGGTCATCTGGTTTTGGTCAAAAACTGCCGAGCACTTAGCGCGGTGTAGGCAGATGTGCTCATAAATCACCCATCATGAAATAGGCAAAAGCATTGAAAGAATTGCAGAAAATAAAGTTTGCTGAAGCTGAACGCAGCCTCTCACAACAATGCTAGCTGGTACACTGATGCCCATGGGCTCCTAGAGCACTTACCTAGCAGGAGAAGCCTGTGCTATAAGGGGCCCACCCTCCAAAAAGATCATTGTGATTCTTGGGGGGTCCCCCCTCATATTCCCACCACTCAGCAAGGTGTGTTTGTCATCCATCCTCAATCCTTCCTTCTGTGATTTATGCTCCTTCCTTCCTGCGTCTGATCTGCATTTGGAGACACGGAAAGGCTGTGGGAAGCAGAAATCAGGATCTATGCAGAGGGAGCGAAGAACAGACTGTGTTCTAGCTTATCACGTGACTTGCCTGGCCTTGGAGCTGATGCCCTGGGAGAGAGTGGGGCTCGGCCTTCCCCAGGGCTCCCTCTTTCCTTTTGGCCCCTGGGAATTGCAGAATATTTCCCAGAAACTGAGAGGTTCAGGGCTATGCCTTGAGGATGAGGGAGGGTGAAGATTCTGGAGGCAGTGAGAGGTCACACAGAAGTCCCTCCAGGAAAAGGAGGTCCTGACACGGTGCTGTGGGGGCCATGGAGAAGGTGAGGAGGCCCCTACAGAGCCTTGATGCACTTGATGCCTTTCTCTTCCCCTTCTGACAGAGCAGATCCTAGAGTAGGTCTCTTCCCAACCCAGACTCTTTCCAGCCCTAGAGAGTGACCGGTGTAAGACAGTCCCAGGCAACCCCGGCCCTGTGGTCCCCACACACATAACACCCCTCAGCCCTGCTGCTCACAGGACTTCTACCAGACAAAGAAGAGCAGGAACCTGCAGCCTGGAGGAAGGGAGGCCTCTCTGCCATGCAGACCCATTCACCTTTCCTGGCTTTCTTGCCCTTCCTATCAAATGTAGGCCTGGGTGGCAGGAGAAGAACCTAATTCTGAGTCCATTCTTCCCTTGAGCCAGCACCCACTCAGCCTCCCAGCTGAAGCCTGGTATGAAGACTTTGCTGTGGGGATGTTTCCTTCAACACCTCAATCCCAAGTTCATTTGCAGATGATTTGCCTATCTTCGCCTAATGTTTTAACGGAGAAAAGTACAGAAAGCGCCTCCCCACATGCACACATGTCCTTGATGCCCTAGTCCTCACCCAGGTCCTCTGACCTCCCTTCTCTTCCCTCCCTGTGGTCACAGCAGACTCCGCTGGTCCTGCCTTCTCTCCAAGGGGCGCAGCCTAGTAAAGAAAGGAACTGGCCCCATCCTGCTGACAGGTGCTCTCTGGATCTCCTGAAGTGGAGAGTAAAGAAACCCACCTGGTGAATGAGGGTCCAGAGGGTTTGCTGTCATTCTGTTCAATGACTTAGCTTGGGCCTGGAAGGCTGAATCCCCCCCTGCTTGTTTTTCTTCCTTGAGGACTTCACGTCCTCCTAGCTAAACCTCCCCAGGAGGCTTCCCACTCCTCTCTTGCTGGGGTTCCACCCTTTGGGACTGGCCCCCTGGAGCCAGCATGGGTGTCAGTTGTGATGTTTCAGGGACCCAGGACCATCCCAGAGTGAGGTGGGGCTAGGACCTGGGCTCTGCAAGACAAAGGGTATTCCAGTTAGTCTCTCCAGTTAGTCCAGAGGGACGGTTGCTGGCTCCCCATGCCTGTTCAGTGGTATAGGCAATATAGTATGGGACTAGGCTTGTAGGCTTTGCTGTCGGGGGCCATGGGTTCAAATCCAGAGCCACCATGTACTGCTCCCTGAGTTTGGGCAAAGTTCTTCCCCGGCCCCTCAGACAACCATAACCAACCACAAACACCAGCTTCTTTCCAGAACCACGTGTGTATACACACTGGGTCATTTCACAGTGGCTTCCTAAATGCCTTGGCATAGATGCTACAGAGAAAAGAAATGTTCTGGTCTGGAGCTGAAGTACCATTTTTGCACAAAGGTCAACTCTGAATAACTGAAATTGTTTAAGGATTACTTTATTTCGCTATTCAAAACATAAGTTGTTTTAAGTACTATTGGAGTAAAATGTTTTCTTATTAACATATTATTTGAAAAAGAGACTACCAATGAGAAAAATCAGCATGGCTTTTTAGGTGCTACATGTCCATATTTGGGCATATTTAGAAAGAGCAACACAGAAGAAGCCTCTCAGTCTCTCATTCTGAAATGTGTTGCAAGAGACTTGGAGAGACTTGGGTGAGCAGTACGCAGTCCCTTCAATCAAGAGTTGCTCGTCTAGTCCGAATGCCTTTCTACAAATGGGCAAATGAAGACCCCAGGGGGCCTAGTGATGGCCAGGCTAGAGAACAGAGTTGATATGGAGTTAGGCAGAGAATCCTGGTCTCCTGACCCCTAGCTGAATGACTCGTGGGGAGACAGGCCTCCTTGAGGGCTCCCTGAAGACAGGCAGGTGGCTGCTTCCCTGACTCTCCTTCCCGTCTCCCTGCCAACTTGACCCACTGCCAGGGCGACCACTGTTTCCTATGACAATGAGGGTGGCTGTACTGACAGCCTGGCCCAGCATGTTCTCGGCCACAGCTTTGTACTCGCCGCTGTCCTCAGGGGAGACGCTGGGTATGACCAGGGAGCACACACCTAGCACATCGGTGCTATACACCGCAGGGTTTCCTTCCAGACTCTGGCCATTCTTGAACCAGGTGATGTGAGGCCGGGGCGAGCCTCGCACAGCACAGCTCATGCAGCACTCGCAGCCCTGTGGCAGCAGATGGGACCGCAGGCCCACCAGGAACCGGGGCTTCTGGCTCAGGTCAGGCTCCCGGTAGCTCGGAGTTTTCACTGGGAACCTGTCTGTGGTGGAAACCAGGATCAGAGAGAGGAGGGTGAGAAAGGGAGGAAGGCCTGGTCGAGGCCCAAGTCTGGGCAGAGAGTTTATGACGCGGTTACTTGGGAATTTCCTGGGCCTTCCTGCCATATCTTACTGCACATTTGAACCCCCAGGCTTGACCCATCTTTTAAATCCTTTTCCTAAAAGTCTTTATGGATGTGTGTGTGTGTGTGTGTGTGTGTGTGTGTGTGTGTGTGTGTGTGTGTGTGTGTATTTTTACTATAGCCTAACACACATTCACTGTGGATAAAATAGAATGTATGGAGAATCCAAGTGTATAGAGAAAGAATAAAAACTAATCATAATCTTGTTACCTATAGATGACCGCATCTGACATATTGGTGTGGAACCTTCCAGACATGTCTGCATTTTATAAAAATGAAACCATTCATCTGATCTGATGACTTACTTTTCCTAGTGACTGCTTTTCAAGGTCCACATCTACTTGGCTGTAAATTACAGTCTGATTTCAAAGTAAACGTTAGCCTCTAGTTGCCTTATTGACTGCTCCTGCTTTGGAGAATTCACCCAAAGGCATCCCAAACACCCACGCCACTCTTGTTCTCCCTAGGGAGTTGGGACCACCCTGAGTCAGGAATGCAGGGGTCGTAAGTCCGGGGGGGTGTGGGGTGAGGCAGGAGTGGGTGGCAGCCCTTGGGGCTGCTGGCTGTGCATGTGGGTGTGCTCCAGGTCACCTCACCAGAGTCATTCTCAGCCCTCCTCCTCCCCCACCCCCCAGGGGCACTCCACCACCCTTGGGTGCAGCCTTCTGTGGTGCAGACCACAGCCCCCACCCCGGCCACGGGTCCCTCTCAAACCCTGCTCACCGCGCTGCCGGGGGATGCACCAGGGCTGGCTGGTGTCTGAGGGTGTGCTGACCCCCAGCTCATTCTTGGCCACCACCCGGAAGTAGTACTCGTGGCCCGGGAGGACACCCAAGAGAGTGAAGTGGTTGGTGTGGACGTGGTCGGCTGCCTCGCGCCAGGGGCCGTTAGCCGAGGAGCGTGTCAGCACGGTGTAGTACAGTGGGATGCCCTGGGCCTCATCCAGAGAGGGCTCCCACTCAGCGGTCACTGTCCCAGGCACGTTCTCCTGCAGGCGGATTGGCCCTGGCGCCTGCGGACATGCTTTAAGAGACAGGGCAGAGGGAACCCACGTTGGAGGGGACCCTACAGGGCTGCTGCTGAGGCCGTCCCCCAGGTCCTCAGATCTTCTGGGAGTCCTGGGGAATGCAGTCTTGTCACACAGGTAGCAGGAGCCAGAGAGAGAGCTTGGCCAGGGGTCTACCATTATCGCTAGAGGGTGGAAAATCTCCCCCCAAATAATAACTTTGATTCACATGTGTTTTTAGGTAAAATAACATAGGACATGCAGCGCTGTTTTGGACAGAGGCAGGGGCTTTTATGAAACCAGGTTAACGAGTCCCCACTGTTAGTCTGTTTCATATTTCGATATATCTGAAACTTCTCCAGGGTAGGGACGGTGTGAGAGTCCTAGCTGGGGAGGACAGCTTTTATCTTGTGCAAGGATCAGAGATAATTCTTTCCAGTGGTATCGTGGTGGTGACTGCCTTTGCTCACTGACTGAGAGTGAGGAATAGCTGAGGTTGGGGAGAGGATGTGGCATGACTGTCCCTATTAAGCTGAGGCAGAACAAATGGAAGCCCCTCGGGAGATCTTCCTTGTCCTTTCCTCTCTTCTATCTTTTTTTTTTTCTTAAGTTTTTTCGTTTTTTTGGTTTTGAGTCAGGGGTCTCACTCTGTGGCCCAGGCTGGAGTACAGTGGCATGCTCATGGCTCATTGCAGCCTCACCCTCCTGAGCTCAGGCGATCCTTCTGCTTCAGCCTCCTGAGCAGCTGGACTACGGGCATTGCCACCTCACCCAGCTAATTTATTATTATTATTATTATTATTATTATTTCGTAGAGACAAGATCTCGCTATGTTGACTAGGCTGACCTTGAACTCCTAGGCTCAAGCAATCCTCCCACCTTAACCTCCCAAAGTGCTGAGATTACAGGCATGAACCATTGCACATAGCCTACTTCTTTCTATCTTTAAGCACAATGGAAGGGTGAGTAGTGGTCGCCTTGCACACCCAACCTGGCAGAATATCTGACACCTATGGCCAGGCCAGTGGCCACATCCATGACTTGGTGAGTGAGCGAGCTGATGTCCAGAGCTTGGAGACACACCTGCCTTACCTGCCACCCTGAGGCGGAAGGTGTAGACAGCCTCCTTCCCCTGAAGGTTCCTCAGCACCACGGTGTAAAGGCCACTGTCCGAGAGGCTGGCCACAGGAATTAGGAGCTTGGTGAGGCCATCCTCAGTGGTGGTCACACTTCTTTTGGGCAAGGGCAAGCCATCCTTCAACCAGGTCACCTCAGGCATGGGGGCAGCCTGGCAAAGGAGGGGAAGGAAACATTGAGAAGAAGTTTCCTAGAGGTGACAGCATTTAAGCCAGGCTTGAGGTAGAAGTGGTAAGAAGAGCTGTCTCGGAAGAGGAAGGTCAGTGAGAAAACACAGGTGGGAAAGCACCTGTTTAGGAACAGACTCATGGAGAAGTGGTCATAAAGTGTGGGGCTGGCACCTGGGTGTGGTAGGGGGTGGTGGGACAGGAAAGGAAGCTGAACGGAGAGGCCAGGGGAAAATATGAAGCACCCTCCCCTCCACACCTGTGCAGACCTATGTATTTTATTTTAAGCCACGAGCTGCTATTGTAAGATTCTGAGCAAGGAAACATAATTAGTTCTGGATTCACAAGTGGGGGGCTGGATGGGAGTGAGAAGGGACTCTGGGGAGGGGAGGGTTGATCACTCTAGTGCTCAAGACCAGGGAGGGGACGACTTGGGAATCCCCACCACAGTCCACAGGGAGATCATGGGGGCCTGGCCTTGAACTGTGGTGACCCCAGCCGGGTGGGGGGGGGAGGCCAGTCAAGCTGCTTGGTGACTGTGCCGCCAACTTCTCATGGGGGACTCGATATGGCACACACTGGGCATCAGAGTCAAATGGGGATGCTGGTGGCTACTTAGCTCGGGGGATTGTTCTGAGGATGTAAGAAGCTAATAACACATGGAAAGCATGGAGAATAGGTCCGAGAGTACAGTAAACACTCCATGTACGTTCACATTGTTGTCATCATTATTATGTCATCATTATTATTACAGTCTAATAATTAAGGACAAGCAATTTAGAGTAAGACAGATCTGGGTTTGAATCTGGCTCTGCCACCTATGTGCATCTGTCACAGATGATGATGCTGATTTTCTCTTCTTTTTTTTGAGTTACGGTTTCAGTCTGTCACCCAGGCTGGAGTACAGTGACATGATCATGGCTCACTGTAGACTCGATCTCCTGGGCTCAGGCAAGCCTTCCATCTCAGCCTCCTGAGCAGGTGGGACTACGGGTATGTGCTATCACACCCTGCTAACTTTGGGATTTTTTACATAGATTAGGTTTTGCTATGTTGCCTAGTCTGGTTTTGAACTCCTGGGCTCAAGCAATCCTCCCACCTCAGCCTCTCAAAGTGCTGGGATTACAGGCATGAACCACCGCACCTGGCCTTAAATGATAATAATAATACTAACAACAACAACTACACATATTGGGTGCTTGCCACATGCCAATCCTTGTTTATGTGCTTTCAACGTATTACTTCTTTGAACCCTCAGAATGACCCTTTGAGATAAGTTGCCATTATTATCTCAGTTTTACAGATGGAGAAGTTGAAACGCAGAGAGGTTAAGATATTTGTTGAAAGTCAAACAGCTAATGAGTGATGATGTCAGACTTTGAACCCAGGCAGTTTGTACTTTTAACCACCATACTAAGGTTATACTAAACATAACAGAGTCAGGTGGTGCTGATGTTGGTTGAGGATCATTCTAAGTCAAGTGCAGGTCGTGTGCTTGCATAAAAAGACCTTCTGAAGTCAAAGGGGGTCATCCACACTGCAGGCCCCCTGAGTTCCCTGAATAAGGAAAGGTGTTGAAAAGTGAGCGCACTCGTTTGGAGGTGCAGTACCAGAGGCTACCACTAGAGGGCTCTGTAGACTCGGAGCAGAATGGCCACCCAGTGGCCAGGAGAGGGTAGAGCCTTCAAGGAGGACCAGAATCTTTCCTCTTGTCCGGCTGGCCTGACTTCTGACACAAACCCAGGGCACTGACTAGGGGGCAAAAAGGAACAGGGAAGAAGAGAACCACAAGACTGAGTCTGGCTCCCTTGGCCTCTCTGGGCTTCCCTCCCCACTCCCCTCTAGGTACACTCACTTCAAAGTAGACAGGCACCCGAACAGTGTCCCCGGTCTTGACCATCAGTGAGTCCTTTGTGCTGGAGTCCATGAGGAACTTGGGACAGACTGAAACACACAAGGTGGCTCATCATCTCCCTTTGTAGTTGGGATCCAGTTCCAGGTTACCAACAAGCAGGGCTAGAGGGGAAAGCTGGGCCAGTCTCACTGATGCAGAAATCACAACAGACTAGGGGCCCTACAGGAACTGGAGGGTAGTTGGGAGGAGAATCCTGGGGGAGAACCCCAGGAGCTGGTGGGGAGATGTTGAAAAAGAGAGGGACCGGAGCTGAGAAAGGGAAGCCACGGGGAGCAGGTTAGGGTTAAGATGGAACAGAGGAAGATGGTGACAGTGGTGGAGTTCTTTTGTTTTGCACATGAGATAACCACCAATCTGAGACTTGCCTGAGGTGACTTGCCTGAGGTCACAGCAAGTTAGGGACAGAGCCAGGACAAGATTCTGGGATTCTAGACTCCAATATGCTGTGTAGGTATCTCTCTCATTGTCACAATGATGATTAGGGTCAGCTGGGCTGGCCCAGTGTCAGCTTGGGTCAAAGACAGGCCAGCTCCTTCTAGCAATTAAAGCCCAAAGGGACAGACAGCCCTCCTTTCAATAATGGGGAGCTGGGGCATGTTCCGTTCTAAACGTCAACCGCGGGAGCTGGGCAGAACTTATGCCTTCTTTGGCCCTGCCTGGAAAAAAGCAGCTCTCTCACCTGGAGAGAGCACTGACTTTGGAATCACCTAGTTTAAATCCAGACTCTGCCACATACCAGTGGTGAGACCTTAGATCTCAGTTTCCTTCTCTGTAAATTGGGGATAAAAATATTAACCTTGTAGCATTATTATGAGTCGTAATGAGAAAACAATTCTAAAAAGGGCCTGCCTAGCCCAGTGCCTAGCATGATGGAGATGTTCAATAAATGTTGCTTCATGGAACCAGAGGGTGGGGATCCTGGCCCAGTAAAGGCATGGTGACTGCTCAGGGATCCCCCTCAGGAAGGGCCTGCAGGGCTTAGGCATAGGGGAAGGAGGCGGCACTCACCAGTGACAGGCATGGCTTGCACCAGTGTGTCCAGGGCAGTGGGCTGGCTGTGGCCTCCTTCATTCACTGCTGTCACCCGCACGAAGTAGCCCTCTCGGAGTCGAAGTCCCTTGGCCGTGTAGGTGGTGACTGGCACAGTGCCCCCATGGCAGGGGATCCACTGGAGACTGTCTGAGGCACACAGCTCCACCACATACCCCTGGGCTGCGTCCCCATCCTGGGCATCCGGGCCAACCCAGCTCAGAGTGATGCTGGTACTTGACGTGTCTGTGACTTGGAGATCTCGCACGGGCCCAGGGGGTCCTGGCCAGGCACCAAAGGGATGTCAGGAATGGTATCACCCTCTCCGAAGGGAGGCCACTCCTCCTCCTGGGGGAGGCCAGTGGGAGACTGGGGATTTCTCTCACTTGGCGATCTATCTTTCAACCTTCCTGAAGTGCTTACTCTTGCCAGTGCTTTATTTCCCTTGTGCACAAAGATCCCAGGCCACCTCCTCCAGGAAGCCTCCCCAACTCATTCCACTCATTCACTCACCTACCAACCCACCTCTCCTAACAATCTTCCCTTAATTCCTAAAAACTGTTATTTTAGTCGATGACCTCTTAGGATCTATTATCCCTGCAGATCAGAATGCTGTCTTTCTATTCTGAACTCAAAGCCAGCCTAGAGTCAAGACTCTGCTTTTTGGCACTCAGTGCAGGCTTCTTATTCTTTATCTGTTAAATAGGAACAATAATAACGGTCTTCTTTACCCACAGTGGTTTTGGAACAAGCAAAAAACATGTATGTAAAAGAGATTTGGAAATTGCACAGCAGTTTAGGGCTCTGGCTCTCAGCCTGGCTGCACACTGGAATCATCCGGGGAGCTTAAAAATACTGGTACCTAATGCCATCCTCAGAAATTCTGATTTAATTAGTGTGGGGTATAGTCCAGACATCAAAAATTTTAAGAACGCTCCAGGTGTTTCTAACTATGCAGCAAAGCTTGAAAACCACGGGTCTAGAGTAGCGCTTCTCAAACTTTAGTTAGCATAAAAATTGCCTGAGATTTTGTTAAAAATACAAATCCTGATTGGGTTGGTCTGGGATGAGGCCTGAGACTAAGCATTTTTTAATAAGTTCTCATAAGGTGATGTTGCTGGTCTGTGGGCCTTGCTTAGTATCAAGAATCCAGAAAATGCAGTTATTGCTGTGGCTACTGTTGGACATGGCTTAACCCCCTACCTATTGTCTCTGTTTCCCAACAATAAGAAAGAATAACAGTAAAATAGGATAGTTTTGGCTCACTTGCAAGGAAGAAGATACATGGCCAGCTCTCCTCCCCCTTCTCTACACTTCACTCTCTTCTTCCCAGGATGTTCTATACTTGCTGGCATTCAAGCAGCCTGAACACCTGCTAGGCCTGTGTCAAGGTCAACACCTGGACCATCCAGCATGTGCCGGAAGTGTGCTGCTCCCTCAAAGACTTGGCATTGGCAGGCTCATGAGGGGATGAGGAGTACTGGGCAGCATGTTCCAAGCCGCCTGCTTTGGAGTGAAGTTTTTAATAGTTATTTTGTGGAAACGGTATTCTCTACTCAAATATGGGAGATTTGGATGAAAGTTGGACAAGTTTTTTGTTTTTCCTGCAGGACTTGGAAATATCATAGTTTTACATCACACACATCTTTGGTCACAGACTTTTTTTTGCTGCTTCTGTTGTTCTCAGAATGTCTATTGGCATCTCGTGGTACACTGATGCTCCCGAGACCACAGGTAGAGAAATGCTGTTCTAGATTGTGAATTTCTGAAGGGCAGAAACAAGGATGGATTCATCCAGTTCCTGGTACAATGCTGACCACCCAGCAGGTAATGGGCAAATATTCATCGCTTAGAGATTGATGCTGAGGTTCCCATAGAGAACAGACCTGTCTGTCTACTGCCCACCCCACCAGGATGATAACTCCCCAGTGAGAGGAGGAGGGGGCTCTAAGACTGGGACTGGTGGTGATTGACCTGCCCAGAGACCAAAGAGTGAGTGAAGTGACCTTGGAAAGACATCTTCTCAACCTTCTGGTCTTCTCATCTGGGCCTGTATGACCTCAAGGTAGGGTCCATAAGGGCCCCTACCATATGCCTCATCCAAGAGGCCTTTCGACTTTTATCTCCCAGCCCTCCTGACCATTTCCATCAGGACTATCCTGACCTGTGACCTCCTGTCCTGTCCCACCCAGCTTCAGAGCCACCCCATGCTCACCCGCTCCCCCACCCCCATCTTGGTTTGGCATTCTACTTACTCATGGGATCCCGAGCAAAGACAGCATCTGATGGGGGCCCAGGCTCTCCAGGGCCTGAGGGAGCAACGGCTGTGACCCGGAACTCGTACTGACAGCCCTGCCGCATGTCGGTCACAGTCCACTTCCTCTCTGTGAATAGCCAATGCCATGTGAGTCCCACCCTGAAGGGACCAAGCAATGGGGAGACAGCTTGGTGCCTCCAAGTTCTGGAGAAGACCAAGCCAAGCCTGGGATCCTAACACATCCCTTCCTCCAGCCAATCAGGTGTAACTCAGTGAAAAGAGCACTGCTCAGGGTGTCAGGGCCCTGAATACCTTCCTGGTTCTATCACTAACTTGCTGGGTGGGTTGATCAAATACCTTAATCACTCTGGTTCTCTCTGTCTTATAGAGTTGGTATCATATTTAAATAAAGGAGAATCAGGCCAGATGTGGTGGCTCATGCCCATAATCCCAACATTTTGAGGGGCAGAGGTGAGAGGATTGCATGAGACCAGGAGTTTGAAAACTAACCTGGGTAACATGGCACTAAAACAAAGAAATTAGCTGGGCATCGTGGTGCAGCTTGGAAGGCTTAGAAGGCTGAGGTGGAAGGATCACCTGAATTCACCAGGTAGAGGCTGCTGTAGCTGTGAGCATGCCACTGCACTCCAGCCTGGGCAACAGAGTGAGACTCTGACTCAATAAAGATAGATAGATAGATAGATAGATAGATAGATAGATAGATAGATAGATAGATAGATAGATAGATAGATAGACAGATAGATAGACAAAGAAGAATCACTAGATAGTAAAGTTGGAAGGATGCCCATTGTTCATATGTCTTTTTCCAGAAATAAGGAAATTGAGGCTCTGAGAGGCCTCAGCTCCTTAGCAGAACAGCCATGACCAGAAACCCAGTCACCTGACAAGCTGTTCTGAGCCCACCTTTCCTCCACAAATCTTGGCTTCCGCAGCAGGTTTGTAGAACACAGAAATGCAGAGGGTTACTGCAGGCCCCCTCGGCATCTGCTCAGCCCTTTGGTTTTTTCAAGTTCTTTCTGATCTCAGAAACCAGTTAGTTTCTTTGGAAACTATTTAGTGGGGGCAGGGGATCCTTCTCTCCACTTTATGGATGAGAAAACTAACCTAGAGAGGACATGAACTGTCCAAGGCCAAGGCCAGAAATAGAGATGCCAGGGCTAACAGCTTCCTCTCTGGCTTCCAGCTGGGACATCTATTAAGCCAGGGCTTCTCAAGCTCAGCACAACTGACATTTTTACCAGAAAATTCTTTTTTTTTTTTAATGAGGGTAAATATGTTCTGTCTTGTGTATTGTAAGATATGTAGCAGCATCCCTGGTCTCCTCAAACTAGACACTTGTAACATCTACCACCACCCAGCTGCGACAATCAAAAGTCTCCAGACATTGCCAAATGTCCCCTAGGGGGACAAAATCACCCTGGATGAGACCCACTATAGGAAGCCAATCTGGACTAATAATGCCGAGGGATCCTGAAGTCAGGAGGGGTCTAAGGAACCTTGGGAGCCAGGGCAAGGGGCACCACCCAGGCCTCTCACCAGGCACGGGCTGGTCAGTCACCGCTGTCCAGGTGTTGCTTCCCTTCTTGCGCTTCTCAATCTGGTAGCCCAGGATGTGGGCACTGCCAGGGCCCCGAGGGGCTGCCCATGTTAGGGTGATGCTCTGGCTGGAGGCCGAAAGGATGGCTGGAGCGGAAGGGGACCCAGGGAGAGCTGAGGGTAGAGAAGGTGCTGGTCTGTCAGAGGCGGAGGACAGGTGCCAACTCATGGGGAGACTCTGGGGGTAGAAGACACGGGGCATCTGGGGATGGGCAACATTCTGTTCCTTCCCAAGGAGTGTCAGGGCTAAGCAAGCCTGCTCTGGGACACCATTCTGGCTGTTCAGGGGAAGAAATGATGGGACAGAGAAGGCACTTTGGCCTCAGAGTCTAGAGTCAGTCCTGGGGCCTCTCAATCTCAAGTTCCCCAGTAGGATGCTCTTGACCGGGGACATGCAATGGAGGAAGATGCTCATCTCTGCCTGTGTCTTCTCAGGGACTCCATAAATCTCATCTCCTGCTCTGGCTGCCAGATCTCAAATGCAGCTGAGGTAAAGAATGTCAGAGTGCTCTAGGAGGGACTCCAGACCCTCATGCACGGGTTGATGTCGCTCAGCCCCTGGGGCAGACCTGCCTTCCTCTGGGCACAGTGAGGAGCCCGGGAGTGTTCCCCACCTTCAGCTCCAGCCGTTTCTCTCACCCTTAGGAGCCACCAGAATTTCCTCAGACGCCAGGGCCTCGCCAGCCCCCTCCAAGGTCACAGCCCGCACACGGAAGGTGTACTTCTTGCCTTGCTCTACGTGGCTGTCAGTGAAAGTGGTGCTGTCTGCGGGGGTCTCGCCCACCTTCAGCCAAGTGCTCCTGCCAGCCTGCCGCCTCTCCACCACGTAGTGCTCCACGGCCCGGCCCCCGTCATCCCTGGGGGGCCGCCAGCAGAGGCAGACACCAGCCCCGTGGCGGTCCTGCACCTCCAGGGGGCCTTGTGGGGGATCCGACTTATCTGGGGACCCACAAGAGGAGCAGGAAGAGAAGGGGGTCAAAGGAGCTGGAGGGGAGCGCTGTCCATCTTCCCCATTCATCCGCGGATAAGTCTGTAATGGGGTGGACTGCCCAGAGAGCTGGGGGCATTTCCCAGAGGGCCACCTGCTTCCTGAGATGGCCAGGTGTCCCTGGTCTCCACCCTCCACACACATATACATCCAGGATGTATCACGGAACCCACCAGCCTGTGCCCAGCCCCACTGTTCAGGGCTGCTGTGGACACTTGCTCAGCCTGCACCAGTACTGCCTTGCTGGCACTGCTCAAGGCTGGGAGCCGCCCACAACCTCTCTAGGGCCAGTCAGTGTCTTGGGGTCAGAGAAGCCCAGCGAGTTCCTGCCCCTAGCAGGAGCCCAGCCCTTTGTCCAAACTTTTTCTCCCTAGCCAGTCTGAGGGGAGCAGAGACGATGGGCAGGAGTAGGTTTGGATCTTAAACAGCATGCAGATGAGGATCCGAGCCAGCAGAGATCACAACTGGGCCTGCCCTGGCTGGCAGGTAGGGCACAGAGCCCCGGGGACCCTCAGACCTCAGCGGGGGGATGGGGGGCTGGCACCTATGACTTGCAGGGTGAGCTCGGCCTGCACAGAGCCTCCCTCACTCCTCAGCGTCACGCAGTACTGGCCACAGTCCTTCCTGCCCGCGCTGGGGAGGCACAGTCGCGTGTAGCCGTCCCCCAGGGCCACCTGGGCCCCCCTGCTGCCGCCGCCCACCACCTCGGCCCCGTCCTTCCTCCAGACAGCCTGGACCGGGAGGCGGCTTTGGAAGGGGATCTTCACTGTCACCGGCTTTCCAGACTTGACTACCAGTGGCTCCCTCAGTTTCTCTGTCACATCTGGAGCAACAGTGGGAGGATCTAAAGATAAAACGAGACAAGGGAATCAAAGAAGACCAGGGCTCTGAGCACCTGGAGCGTGCAGACAGAAGGACCCAGAGAAGGGCATTTGGGCTAAGAGTAAGGAACACCCTCTCCCATCTCATGAGGGCTAACGAGGGGAATGGGCTTCATCTGAAGCAGGAGGGACCATGGTTAGACCTCACCAAGGACTTCTGCACAAGGAAGGAGCTATGATGCTGAATTGGGTTGGAGGTCTTTTCAGACTAAGGGTGAGATTAGACACTGGCTGCAGACTAGCCACAAATTCAGGTGTTTAGAAGAGGGGCAGGGAAGCATGTCACCTGGTACAAGGAGACTGTGGGGCAGGCCAGGGCAGGGCAGGGCTGAGCCTCACCCTGAACAGTCAGGGTGGCCTCACTCTGCTGGTTGCCGGCTACAAAGGTGTACTTCCCGCCCTGGGTCCCCTGTACGTGGGTGATGAGGAGTCTGTGCACGAGACCATCTTGCTCAAAGATGACTCCGTCCTGGGCGGTGAGCTGGAAACAAGGGCCACAGCAGGAAAAGGTCACCCCCACAACGACCTGGTCCCTTTGCACCAGCTAGCCAGGCCCCCTTAGTGACACAGTGGCTAGAATCATGATACCAGCTGCAGGAATTGAATGCCAGTCGTGTGTCAGGCATGTGCCAACGCTCTCTGTGCTCAATACCTTAATTGTCACGACACCCTTATGAAGTAGGTTCTATGAGTCTCATGTCATAGGTAAGGAAACCCGAATGCTCAGTCACTTTCTAGGTCATACAACTGGTGATGGCAGCGCTGAGACCTGAAGCCAGATCTAGCTGATGCCGTGGCCTGTGCTCTGAGTCAGTGGGACGTATCTTCTCCTGTGATGACAGCTCTACTGGAGGGCAGAGGGGCTGTGCAGAGATGAGAGCTCTCCGCTGGTTGGGATGGGAAGACAGCATTTGTTCAAGGCTTTGAAGGGTGATAGGATTCAGCAGGTGTGAGTACAGAAGAGACATTGGGTGGTGGAAGAACAAGAGGTGTGTTGAGGGAGGCATGAATAGGATACACGCTATTTTAAAAATCCAGTTTTATTTTAAGCACACCAAGTTGGTTATTTAAACTTCCCCCAGGGTAGGTCTGTGAGTAAAATGGAGAATGAGAAAAATCTTTCTCGCAAAGCCGCTACCGTACACTTCCCCTCTGTTTCGCCCTTGCCCCTCCCCACGGTAAAGCGAGTGTGTGAGGGGGCAGTACCTCGACTCCATCCTTGAACCAGGTCCCAGGTCCCAGGTCACTGCTGAGGGTGCGGGAGAGTGTGGCAGCCGCCCCAGGCTGCACCTCTATGTCAGCCAGACCCTGGGAGAAGTGGCACGCGGGGCCTGGAGAGACACGGAGGGATTGTGGCTGCGCTGCACCCTGGGAGGCCACCATGGTCCTTCCAACTGGGCTTAGCTGGTACCAGCAAAGGCCAGCCTCTGATTTTTCTCAGCAGGACCTTAACGGTTCCCAATCTGAGGCATGAGGCAGATGAAGGGCACCTCCTTCTCCAGGTCACACGGGCAGGTCTGGTTACCAACAGAGACTTAGACCAACAACTCTGGTATTGTGGACCTAGACTTCAAGACCAGATACCCACGAGACCTTAGAACCTCACACAGGCTAGATCCCACCTGCACAAGGAGGAAGAGGTTGCTTCCTAAACGTAAAAATGGTTCCTGATAATGGGAGGCATTGGTAGGGGCAAATTCCCAGGGCTGGAACTGGGACCCACAGAATTGAGACAGACCAAAGCATCCCAGTGGCCAGGGAGCTCCCCCTTGGCCCTTGTTCTCTGGTGCCAGCTCGGCAGATAAATACATACCTTGGGCTTTGGAGAAACTGCCAGTGTCAGGTTTGTATCTGGATGTGGAACTCTGGGTGGCATCTCTCCCCTCGCCACAGACATCCAATCTGCCTTCTTCGACAACTCTCCTGCTGCCAAGATGACCAGGGGGCTCCTGGCTCCAGTCTTCACTCGGTATCTCCCCTAGACGCCCCCGGTTTGGCCCCCAACGCAGCTGCCTCTTGCCTCTGGCCTCATCTGCTCCCCCTCTCTTTGCTACTCCAACTTCAGCCCCTGACTGTGCGTGAGACCTGCTCCTGAGTGAACCAGGCTTCCTGTCTGACCTGTCAGACTCTTCCCCTCCCTGCCCCTCATGCTCCTTTAGGGCCCCAGGACCTTGGGCCATGCCATTCTCAGCCTCCAGGGACCCTTGCTCCTGGAGGGACCTCCTTCCTCCTATCTGTCCTGTGCCCGGCTGAGAGCTCAGGCCCTGCATTCCTCCTGATTGGTCTCCAGAGCCTTTTCTGCCAAAGAGACCATCTAAGCCACTCCAGGCTCCCTGAGGTCCTGACCCCCCAGATTTTGGGGTGAGGCCATTCTCCCACTCAGTGGAATTCCCCTTGCCCAGGACACCCGAGTCCTCTGTACCACCAGACTTGCCCCTTCCAGGTCCTGAACCTTTGTTATCCAGGGACCATCGGCCTTGGCATCCACCAGCTGCTTCCTGACCTGGTATGCTCCCCCTCCCCCTAGAAGCCCCTGGCCCTACATGGTTCCCACTGAAAGTGGCATCTTTCTCCTGCAGAGAACTGGAAGCCCTAGAGCCTGAGAGTTGGACCACAGCCCCTGTGCTGCCTTGGCCAAACCCCTGGTCTTCCCAGCCTGGGGCCCAAGTATCACTCACCTCTTGCCCATCAGCAGGCCCTGGCATTGGTTTGCCCCTCCCCCTGGGCACAGAGCTGCTGTCCAGAACCCAGCCTGCCTCTGCTGAGCTCCCTGACCCTGCTCCTAACCTTCTGCCTCCCAGCAGCAAGTTCTCACCTCCCTGAGGGGCCAGTCCCCCCTGGCCAGCAACTCTACCCTTGTCTGCTGTCCCTGGACCTACTTCCCAGGAGTCTTGTTCATGTCCAGACTCCAGAGCAGCCATCCCTGCCCAGGTCTCACCTTCCACTGTACCTCTGCCCTCAGGACACCCCAAAGCCCCCATTCTCCCTGCTTGTTCTGGAGATCTGCCCTTCCCTCTGGGAGCCCCTCTGTCCCTAGAAGACCTTGGAATCCCAGAACTATCCTGCCATTCTTCGACAACTGATTTTCCCTTGGCACCAACAGCCTCTAAGGCCTCAGGGATGAGGCCTCTAAGGCCTGAGGTTCCATTGCCCCCAAGACCATTGGTAGAGCCCTGTTCATCTGAAAGAGTCTGGGGTCCTCCCTGAGTCCCCAGCACCCCCGGGCCTCTGGGGCTGTCCCTGTGTGCGGTGCTGTCTACAGTGCCCAGCATCCCAGCTGTCCCTGCTCCCACCCCAGGACCTGCCCTATCCACAAGCCCCATTCCTCTGGCTGTCTCTGGGCCATCCTTGGAGCTTGTGTCACCCTCCAATGTGACCCAATATCCTGACCTGTGCCCCATGGCTTTGTGGCCTCTGGGTCCAGCCTCAGGTTCCACTACAGCCAGTGAACCTGGTACTCCATACCTTCCAGAACCTCCTCCATGGCCCATCAGGCCCTCTGGCCCCATTTTCCCAGATCCTCCTGAGCCTCCCCTATAATTGCCCTCACTCCCAGACCCCATTCCCCCAGCTCCCTGCAAGTCTTCCCTACAACCTGCCTCACCCCATAACAAAGTGCCCCCAGAATCTTCCAAACTACCCCCATAACCCGCCTCACTCCCTAATGGAATACTTCCCCCTAAACCATTCCTATCACCTGCCTCACTTTCTGATCCCATTTTCTCAGAGCCCCTTAAATCATCCCTATAATCGGCCCTGCTCCCTGTACCCCTGCCCTCAGGAGTCCTCAAATCTTTTCTATAACCTGCCTCATCTGCTGACCCAATTTCCCCAGAACCCCTTAAACCATTCCTATAGTCTTCTTTGCTCTCTGGACCACTTCCCTCATGCACCCCCCAATTTTTTCTGTAACCTGTCTCATCCACTGACCCCATTTCCCCAGAACCCCCAATGCCATTGCTACAGCCTGCCTTTTCTGCTAACCCCATTTCCCCAGAACTCCCTAAACCGTCTCTATAATCTACCCTGCTCCCTCCTACTTTATTAGGAGCCCCCGGATCTTTCCTATGTCTTGCCTTACCTGCTGACCCCATTTTCCCAGAGTCCGCTAAACTATCCTTGTAATCTATGTCCTTGTTTCGTGAACCCATTTTCTCAGAAACCCCCAAATCTTTCCAATAACCTGCCTCATCCACTGACCCCATTTTCCTTGAACCCTGAATGCCATTCCTACAATCTGTCTTGTCCAGTGACCCCATTTCCCCAGAGCCCCCTAAACCATCCCTATAATCTGCCTTGCTGCCTGAACCCATTTTCTCAGAAGTCCCCAAATCTTTCCAATAACCTGCCTCATCCACTAACTCTGTTTTCTTAGAATCCTGAGTACCATTCCTATATTCTGTCTTGTCCAGTGACCCCATTTCCCCAGAGCCCCCTAAACCATCTCTATAATCTGCCTTGCCTCCTAAACCCATTCCCTCAGGAGCCCCCAAATCTTTCCTATAGCCTGCCGCATCCAATCTCATTTCCCTAGAACACCCAACACCATTCCTGTAACCTGTCCCATCTGCTCCCATTCCATGGAGGCCCCCTGAGCCATCTCGAAAGCCTGCCTCACCTTCTGGCCCTGTACTCCTAGGCCCAAGGCCCCTTGGTCCTCCTTCATAAGCTGTTCTTCCCCCAGCGTCCTGAGGCTCTGAAAGTTCTGATCCATCCCCATAACCCAGCATATTGCCATTCCCACAAGCCCACTGGCTCTCAGAACCACCCCCAGTGGGAAGAGCTAGTGCCTCAGGGTGCCCAGTACTGTCCCAGTAACAAGTTCCAGCTCCAGAGGCCCTTGCATCAAGGCTTCTGATTCCAGCCCCATCACTCACTTTGTCCCCTGCCCTCAGAGAACCTGGCTCCATGGTTCCTGGACCCCCAGCACCATCTTCATAGCCTTGCTCTCCAAAGGCCCTCAGGACCCTAGAGGCTCTGAAGCCCCCATAATCTCCAGCCTGACCCCAAGGCCCTATTCTCCCAGAGCCCCCTGGTTCTGCTTCCACACGTCCCTCTCCAACAGTCTCCCTTGTTCCAGAGGCCTTGAGACCACCTCTACCCATAGACCCCACCATCCCAGGACTCCCTAGGCCACCATCTGAATGACACACTCCCCCAGGGCCCATGTCCCCCTGGCCTCTGCATGCATCCCAATTTCTGGTTTCATCCATGGGTGCTCCATCAGGGCCACTTGAGTCATTCTTGAGACTGGCAACTCTCCCAGCCCCCCTTCCTGCAGGACCATACTGATCTTTATTCCCAGACCACATTCCCTCAGGCACCCCTGAACCGTGCCTGGAAGCATACCCTTCCTCAGATTCTGTTCCCTCAGGTGTCCTAGAGGCAACTCTAAAACTAGTACCATGTACACACCCCATTTCTCCTGGCACCCCTGAACCATCACTAAAGTCAGTCCCATTTTCAGGACCTATTCCCCCAGGATATCCTAAGCTACCCCCATACCTAGATTCCATTCTCCCTGGACCTCCTAAGCCATCCTTATAGCCCAGCTCACCTCTGGGTCCTTTTACTCTGGAGCTCCCTGTCCCATTCCAGAGATCTGCTTTGGACCCTCTTGCCCGTGGACAACTTAATCCTTCTGTATCTTCTAGTGTCCCTCCAGCCCCCTCAGCACCCAGGCCTGAAGCCCGAATTAGCCTGTGGCTTCTGGCACCCACCCCCTGACCAGACTCTACCAGCCCAGTTGCCTGGGTACCACCCATACCCTCTTTCCCTCCACTGGACCCCACTACTCCTAGCCCTTGGTGACCCCCAGTTTTTCTGAGGGTGGACCATGTATCATCCCAAGGACCTGTGCTCTCAGACTCTGTGCTGCCAATATTTCCTGCTCCTCTCTGGCCTGCTGTCCAGTCCTGGGAAGACTGGAAGCTTCTAGAGCCATCCCCTGCCATGCCTAAGACCCTGGCTGTTTCTTGGTCCTCCCTGCTCCTAAGCTCCTGTGGGCTACCTTCCCAGTCCCTGGGGTCTCCTGGGCCTCCAGAGCCAGTTTTGTAGATCTTTCCTCCAACCACAGTCTCCCCTGGGCATAGACCATCTGCCTTCTGCAGCGAGTACTCGGCATTGGCCTTAGGACTCCCATCTCCCAGAGGGAGTTTTCTACCACCTGATACTGATGGTTCCTGGAAGTCCCTGCCTCCAGATGTCTGTCCTAGACAGTCCCCTGAGCCCCAGTAGCTCCTGGTTTCCCCAGAGTCAGCATCTCTACCACCCTGAGAACCCCAGGATTCAGGGTCCATGCCTGCTTTGGAGCTAGAACCTCTTTCTCCAGGAAACTCCAGGGTGCCAGGACCTCCTGCCCCATTGCTGTCTCCAGCTCCCCCCAGGCCAGTGCCACTACCCCATGCTACCCTTGCCACTCCTGTCCCTCTTTCCCTACCCAGACCATCCTCTCCCTCCATCTCATCTAGGCTATCACCCTGTAAAATCTTATCACCCTCCTTTCCTCCCGACCAGGACTCCACAGGGTCAGACTGGGATCCCCACAGGGCTCCATCTCCTATCCCAGGTCCCAGCTGAGCATCCCAGAGTTGTTCCTGGCCATGCCTAACCCATTGACTTCCATTGCCTTCTCTGTGCTCCTTTCTTTCCCCTCTGCTCCCTAATCCTCCAACCTGAGGGTGACTGAGCCCAGTCTCCCCATCTCCTGCTGTCCCCCAGTATCCATTCCCATCACTGTCTCTGCCATGATTTTGCTGTCGTATTCCCATGAGGCCTAACCCTGATTTTGGGCCCTCTCTCAGTAGATGGGGCCTGCCTGCAAGGCTTCCAGCCCAGCCTCCCTCTCTATGGCACTGATTTTCCCCAGCAGGAGTGACTTTGCCTTCTTCTGCTTCTAGAAAGCCCTTTCCCTCCTGCCCAGGGCTCCAGGCTGAGTCAGCTCTCCCTTTGTTCCCCATCGAGGAGTAGCCATGCCTGCCAAGGCCACCTCTGTCTGGGCTGGCCATGCACTGGAGTCCAGAAGCCAACCCAAGTCCCTTGAGGGAGCTCCCCATGGGACCTTGCTTTCTGGGTTTTCCTCCCTGGCTACTAATGCTCCCAGCATCTTCTGCTCCTGGGGTCTGGGCTCCTTGTGCCGGCAACTGGCAGTCAGCACTAGTGGTCTGAAGGCCTTTATCCCTTCCGGCTTCAGTGAGGTGTTATTCCCATGGAAGGTCAATGTCCCCAAAGATAGAAAAGAGAAAAGAGAAACTCATGTTAAATCTGGTCAAGCATCTGCCCGACCCTCAGCTTCCCCAGTAGAGAAGCAAACTGACCACCTGGAACACTGCCAGGGTGTTCCAGTGGATTGAATGGATATATTCATCACCACTTTCCCCAGTCCTGTACCCACAGGCCACACTGCTACGTGACTTATGAGGATTTTGGAGAAAATGCATAAGCCAAAAGTCTTTTCCCTATCAAACTGCCACAAGCAATTGTGTGGTTTTTAAAAGATCAACTCGCCCTACCCCCTGCCTTACACATGTTCAATTTACAGTTTCCTGAATCCAAATCTCAACCTCCAGCAGCGTTTAAGAGTGTTCTCTGGTCTGGCCCAGGGGCTTCTCATCCACACTGAACCTAGGCCACTGTCCCTAGGCTGCCCAGGACCCTGGGGCCATCTTGGGACCGCGCCCCAGAGTAATTCCAAGAGGCCCAACGGAGCAGGTGTAGTTGAGGATGGCAGGACTGGTGGGAAAGTTCTGCACTGCAGTGGATCGAGAATAGATCTGAAGAGTCTTCCTCATTCTCTCACAGCGAGAGAACCATTCCAAAGCAAAGGACTGACCAGAGGAAGCCCCATTGCCCAGGCCTTCCTTGTGCTTTCCCAGGCCTGAGTTCCTGCCTTGGTGGAGGCAGGGAAAGGCAGAGGTATGGACTACTCACCTTCAACCACCAGCCAGGCACTGGAGGTATGGAGTCCGGTGCCCAGAGAATATGGGCCCATGTCTGAGAAACGGGTCCCCTTCACCACCAGCCGGTGGGTCAGCCCATCAGGGGACACAAACACTTCATATTTGTCACTAGGATGGAGTGGCCGATGCCGGAAAAGCCAGGCAGCATTAGGGCAGGGGCTGGAGAGTGTACACTCGAAGACTGCATCACCTTTCTCCTCACAGCGGGCCTCAGTCAGCGGGACCACTACTCGTGGAGGGATGGCTGCCGCGGAAGCAGGAATGGGGTGTCAGCTTGATTGCATGACAAAGTGTGACCTGGTGTGGTGGGGCTAGGAGTTTAGAAATCTAGGTTCAGAGCAGCTCAGCCACAAATTCTCTGTGTCATCTGGGATAGGTCACTTCCTTACACTACGTGTCAGTTCCCCCCACATAAAACAAGAGGTTATAATTAGGTTGTGATTATAAGCTAGTTTTAGTTTGGGAATTCTATAATTCTAAACCCAAGAGTTATATTGGGGGGCAACGTGGGCACATGAAGGAAACCAATACGCTGAGGGCCAGTGCTTTACACAGATATCTCATCTTATTAATCCATATGACCACTTCTGAGGTAGGTGTTATTAATTCCTTTTTAACAGATACGGAAACTGAAGCTTAAAAAGTTAAATGACTTATCCCAGTCTTACACAGCTAAGAAACACCAGGATTCACACCCAGGTCCAGCTGACTCCCACACTCATGCTTTTTTTCCTACACCAAGTTATTTTTAGGCTTGTCAAAGCCCCTTCCGAGCATCCCAAGCCTGCTGGGACACATTGTCCCCTTCCCTCTTCCTCAACCTCAATTCAGATACGACATATCTGTCTAAGGCTCCCTTTTCCCAGGCCTCTCTTTATCCTTCCAAGTACTCCTTTGAGTGTCTAGTGCTCTGGGGGTGACGTGAATACAGGTGTTCGTGGGTACGGGATAGAGTTTGATGAGGGAGGGAGGGCAGTTCCCAGACGGGGAGGGTGCACAGGAAGCAGGGAAGAAAAACATCAGTACAGAGCATAGGTGTGTCTAACCCGGATGGAGATTCTTGGTGGGGAGTTGTGGGACGTGAGGACATGCATCAGAAAGGAGTGAGGTTGTGGCTAGAGGCTGTGTGATTTGTTTGCATCCGATCTGAAAATAATCGGTTGATGCAGAAGGTCTGTGAGCAGGGGCGTGACATGTATGTTCTACGTCTGTGACTGTAACTCAGTAGAGCCCAACTCAGAACTAAGAAAAGACAGAACTTGGACCAAGACTCTTGGAAAACAGAGCATCATCATTTAGCCATCTGGGTTTGCATCCCTCTCCCAATTGTCTTGGCAGTGGCGGCCGTGTCACATTTACCTCTCCACACATTGTACTGACACGGACCCCACTTCTAACAGATCTCCTCCATTCAGACTTCTGCGGTGAAGACCACTCACCACTGGCCTCTAATTCTGTGGAGAAGACCATAGCATCCTCCACCTTGACCTGGTAAATGCCGGCGTCCTCAGGCTGCAGGTCCTGGATCTGGAACTGGTAGCGCTTTCCCAGCCGGCGCAGACAGTGCTTGGTGTAGTTGTCGAAGCCGTAGGGGATCATCTCACCATCCTGAGGCCAGAAAAGGAAGAGCTGGAGGTTCAGGGTCTCAGTGGGTCCCCCACACTTCCTGCCCCATGGCTACAACCAGCAGTTTTCTCCCACTGGCCCACCATTGGACAACATGTTCCTGGAACCACAAAGGGGTGGAGTGTGGGTGAAGAGCAGGGCCCGGAGGATGTGGGAACAGGGATTATGAGGTGGATAGGAAAACCTGCTCTAGGAATGTCCATGACTCTTAGCATGGAGTCAAGATTCTGCAAGTGTTGTGCAAAGAGGCGTCTGAGATTGCTGGGATTTCAGCTCAGGCCATAAGTAGAGTCCTACTACGCAAGATTGGGGGCGGTGCGGGGGAGGCCCAGGGGTCCCAGCTCATTGATTCACCAAGAGGAACTTTCACAGAATACCATAAGATTTCTTCCTTTTTCTTTTTTTTTTTTTTTGGAGTTGGGATCTCACTCTGGAGTGCAGTGGCATAATCACAGCTCACCGCAGCTTCTACTTCCTGGGCTCAGGCAATCCTTCCGCCTCAGTCTCTCGAGTAGCTTGGACTACAGGTGTGTACCACTATGCCTCGCTAATTTTTTTGATATTTTGTAGAGAGGAGGTCTTGCTATGTTGCCTAGACTGGTCTCAGGCCCCTGGGCTCAAGCAATCCTCCCATCTCGGCCTCCCAAAGTGCTGGGATTACAGGCATGATCCACCATGCCTGGCCCTATCAGATATCTTTAAGGTTCTACAAAACCCAGTAATCTATTCATACACACATGCTTAACTAAGCCCTAGGTAGATCTGCTACTTGCTGAATATTAACAATAGCTAACACTCAGTGCCAAGTATACTGTTTTAGGTACTTGGGACATATCAATGAATAAAACAGACAAAGATTCCTGCCCTCAGGGGTTGAAATTCTATGAGGGAGATGGATATAATTTATGGTAAAAAAAAAAAAAAAAATAGAACGGAGGGGACAAAAGAGGGAGAGGAGAGTTCAGTGTTCAGAAATGCCAGGATGGGACTGGGGGAGCAAAGTGGAATCGCGCAGGGTGGTCAGGGGATGTCTCTTTGCCATGAGAGGTTTAGCTCTGTGGATATCAGGGAAGAGCTTGCCAGGCTCAGGGAACAGGTGGAGCAGTGGAACAGGGTGGCAGGAACAGAGTGGCATGGGAAAAAGTAGAAGAAGCAAGCAGAGACGTGAGGGAGGGACAAAGTATACACTATTTCCCTTAGCGTTGCATTATGCCATGAGACAGGCCTATATTTATCTCCACTTCACAAATGAGGAAACGGAGGCATGGAAAAAATAAGTACCATGTCTGAGGTCACACAGCTTGTAAGTGACAAAGCCAGGATGTATTTGGCTACAGAATAGTGGTAGGTTTTACTGCTCTCCCCACCCTCAGTATGCGCCCCTGCCCCAGCCTGGTTGGCAGGTAATTACTCACAGAGCCCATGAAGGGATGTGTCTATCTCCAGAGAGAGAACCCATATGGAGGGGGGGTTCACTTTCTCAGAATACCCTTTTTACTCCTGTGCTCTGGCATTAGACACAGTTCACAGTCACAGGCCCAGATGGAGAGCCTGGCTACTCAATGTGAGGTAAGAGGGCTCTGGTGACCCAACTGCAACCAGGAACTCTACAGGATCAGGGGCTCGCCACGTGTATGCTCTGGTTGTTCCCACAAGGGGACCTCCTCCAGGACCTGCAGCACCCCTGCTGGATCCCCCTCTCCATGGCCCCTCCAGCCTCACCTTATACAAGTAAATCTTGCTCTCAGAACTCTTGAGATCCAGCTCCAGGTCAAACGTGGCGACCCCTTCCTTGGTGACCCTGACATGTCTCAAGTTGGCGATGGCGTTGACATACTAAACGACAGACAAACCAACCAGGGAAACGCTTGGAGCTCTCTCTTCAGGGCACTCCAAACCCTTCTAGACCCTCGTACTTCCCAGGCCCACACCGTTCCTTGGAGCATGCAGTGGCCCATTTCACAAGTAGTAAGAGGTAAGCCCTGAGGGGAAGGAAATTCTCCAAGAGGAGAGGTTAGGGCAGGAGTATAACCAAGAAAGGACCCCGATATCCAGGTGCTCCCAGAACATGGTACAGCCTTTCCATTCGTCTATTCTTCCATCTAATAAACATTAGTGAGTATCTACTGAGTGCAAATCTCTATGCTGGGTCGTGTGTCAAAGCAGGCGAGAAAGTTGGGAACAAAGAAAACTGAGGTCTTGGTGGGAAGTTTGAGGAACCACCTTCAAGCGAACGACACACTATTTCCAGGATAATGAAAACTAGTTTTTCATTTCCAGAAGAAAACTTAGACTTATGCTCTAAATAAATTAGATATAGGAAATAAGTTCTTGTGCAATTGATACGACTCTGGGATCAGAGTGCTAATGGGAACCATGCAAGTCCCTTCCCTGGAAGCCTTGAGAAATAAGATGGGTACCCCACATCCAGTGATGATGACAATGGCTGACACTCAGATACTAGGCCAAGTGCTTTAAGTACATTCTCTCATCCATCCTCCCACTAACCCTATGAGGTACTATGACTCCTGTTATATAGATGAGAAAATCAAGACACAGAGGCTCTAGCTTCTCCAAAGCCCCAGAATTTACTAAGTATCAGAACCAGGTTTCAAAGCCAAGGCACCAACCCGGAAGCCAAGTCCTTAGCTTCAGACTCCCCTGGGAGCTAGATGGAGACAGGCCCCTCAACCATGCATGGTTTCTCAAGATCTGTCTCAAAGCGCAACCTCAGGTGTGAGGCACCCGTGATCTAGGTGTGTGGGGCTGGGTGAAGGTACCTGTGCCATCTTGTCCTCCTGCTCCTTCTTCAACTCCTGCAGCTTGCGCAGCATGCCCCGGTAGTCGACGATGCCATACTTCATGCAGATCTGCTCGTAGTCCTTCCGGTCTGCCGTCATCAGCAGTTGCCATACCTGTTCCAGGTCCATCTTTTTCTCTGGGGCTGGCGGGGCCCTGAGGAGCAGGGCTGGCAGGTCAGAGGTCAGAGGCGATCCAGGTGTTGGCCACCTGGCTCTGAGGCCCTGGGGGGCCTTGGGAAGTTGTCCTATTTGCACTTGAAGAAACAGACACAGAGGCTGGACTCTCTGGGACTGACCACTGTCAGGACTGGAAGGACCCAGAGGTGGGCAAGTGAGCCTCATCCCACAGCTCCATCTTTTTTACATCACTGTTTTGGAGGATCATCCCATTTTGCATTTTTCTGGCCAGGACCCAGAAAGGAGAGATGATTAACTCAAAGATACAGAGCTTTGAGGTGGCAGTGCTGGATCCAGAACCCCCAGTTCAGTGCTCTTCCCATCCTCCCATCTGCTCCTGGCAGCCTAGCTCCCTGCTGTGTTGGGTGGGGATGGGGGCCGAGCCCAGCTTATGGGGGGTACCATGGGAGCCTCTAAAATATCCTACAGATAGGCTTAGACCCACCTCTTTTTCAGCAGCTTCCGGAAGTCCATCAGCTCCTTCCTAAGGTCTGGAAAAGGAAAGGAATGAGACTCCAGCCCCCAGCGGGATACCTGAGGCCGCTACAGAACTTTCCTTGTGGCCCATGTTGACAACCAAGCTTTTGAAAGGCAATCTCCTGCAGACTGGCAATGACCTACAAGGTGTGCAATGGGGCTTGACCAGGTGGGGAACACCAGGCAAGGAGTAGCTTATCCCCCCCCAAAGACCCCAAGGAGATTTCTGACAGATCCACCTACCCTCCTGGGGTTCCTTGTGCCTCTTTCGGTTCTTTCGAAAGCCAACTGGATCATCCAGGAAGGAGAGGAAGGAGTTGATGTGAACGGGCAGGGAGAGAGACAAGACACATTGATGGTTTTCCTGATAAACCACTAAGTCCTGGAGCCCTGGCCTTCCCACTGTCCTCTAAGGCATGGAGTATCCCAGTAAGAGGGATGGAGCAGGGTGGACGCCCTACCCATTATAAGCTTTGATACTCTAGAGCCTTACCATGACTGAGGGGAAACAACACGAGCATGATCTCATGCAGGGGAGACCCAGTCATTTGTCCACAGGAGTCAGGGAGGTGGCATAAATGAGTGAACACTGGTAACCACAACAAACCAAAGAGCACCTAAAGGAATAGCTGCTCTTTTGCTCCTCCTGGGAGGTGCCATTTCAAGGTGTAGACCCAATATTGCCAAGTATGTCAGGTACTGATGGGCTAATCCTGCAGTCATTCATAATCCTCTTCTTCATCACCTACTTCTACTTAGAGAGACTGAAAAAGCTAACCAATTGCCTTCCTGCTTCCCTTGCACCTAGTGGCCATGTGCCGTGGTTCTGACCAGTGAGCTCCATGGGGTTTCTGAGGAAGTTTTTGCGTCCTCAATAAGAGGAGCAGATGAACCTGGGCTACCTCTTCCACCTTCTTCCTGTCTTGAACATGAATTAAGTTTGCATCTGCCAATCCCAACTCATGACCGTGTGGTGATAAACCAACATGCTAAGGATGGAAGAGTAGTGTGACACAAAGAACCCAGCTCTCCAATGGCAGCCCTGAGCTGTGGGTTGAGCCCTGGGTGCCACTCTCAGAATTCTTATTTGTGAAGTAGTTAAATATCTCTAATCCTTGGGCAACTCTTAGTAGGGTATTCCGTTACTTGTAGGCAAACCAACTGTAAGCTACCTCTCAAGAGATAGCTACCTCTTAATTATTATAAGTTGACAATTTTTAAAATTTCAAGCATCATGCAAACCAAGCAAAATATGTCTGAGAGAGGATTTGACCCTTGTGTTACCTATTTGTCACCTCTCATGTAGACTTGCACAAAATATCCTTTGCAAAGTGGAGAAACAAGCCCAGTAAGGAAAATAAAACTCATTGAATGAGTGAGCAGAAGATCTACGACTAGAAACCAACTTCTAGGTCCTGACCTCATTTCACTGGGCCAGGAGAGTATCCCTCAGAGCATCTGCAACAGGACATCTGTCAAGGGTGTGCCCTTTTAATCATATGCAAATTTAGCATGTACATGGGTAAAGCCAAGGACCCCAGCACAAGGTAGCCCAGCAGAAGCACCAGCCTCGATAGACTTCCCTCCCTCCCCCATACCAGTTGTGTGGCCTCTGAGTCCTCTGCGGTCTCTCTGAGGAGAAGGCAGATGCCCTGTACACTCAAAAGACAGGCTCAGGGAGAAGCCCACCTTCGATAACGGTGAGTCTCACTGAGCACGCAGCCTCTCCATACATGTTCACCGCTGTACAGTGGTACAGGTCTGTGTCTTCGCCTGTCAGTTTGTTGATCTGCAGAGAGGTCAAGGGCAGGGGAACAGAGCTAGCACGTCCCCTTCCTTCATTTGCCAGACATGACTATGTGTTGGGGCCATAAAGTGAGTTAGACACCACCCTTGTTCTCATGGAACTCACAGTCTATCAGGAAAGACCAATCCCAAAACAAAAATCCAGATCAGGACACAGGATGGGCATGACATCTCTTTGCCATCAGCAGCAATGTGATGTGGTAGAAAGGGCTTACTTTGGGGGGGGGCTAGATGGGTTCTGGGACTGAAAACTGTCTCTGTCATGCACTGCTATCTGTGGGAACATGGGCAAGTTTCCTAACCTCTCTAAACCTTCGTTTCTTCACTTGTAAGATGTGGATAATGATACCTCAAAAAAGTAATGACTGGTTAGGACTAAATCATATAATCTATATTGAATGTTTAACCCAGGGCCTGGCACATAGTAGGTATTCATGGTTGGTATCTATAATATTGCTAATATTAAGCAAGATTGAGTACTCACTATAGGCCAGGCACTTGATAGACACTTTATGTAAACCTTTATCCCGCCTAACAACTCCTTAAAGTAAGTGCTATTATTACCCCATTTTACTGATGAGAAAACAAAGGTAGAAAGAGAAAAGTGGCTTTCCAAAGCCAAGGTGGTGGGCCTGGATTGTAACCCATGCCATCCGATTCCAGAGCTTGAACTCTTAAGCTTCAGTCTACACCACCTCCCAGGTTCTCAGCAGAGGTATTTACGAGCCTGCCAGATCCACTTTTGGCACAGGCAACCATGAACCATGGGATGGAGTTGAACGGACTCAACTTCAACTGGGAGTATTCCTTACTCCTCCGGGGGATGGGAGGCTGCTAAAGATACCTTTAAGGGGATGGAAAGAGATGGGTAGACCCTGGTCAGGGGAAGAACTATGGCTCCTACCTGCAGCACGTGCTCCTTGCTGCCAGGGGCAGAGGAGATTTGGTACTTGCTGGAGTTACCGAGGTCACCTTTGGTGCTGTGCCAACACACCTCGGGCCTGGGCTCCCCGCTGACCACAGCTCGAAAGATGGCATTTTTCCCTGCGGCAGGAAGAGACAGGTGGGAAAACTGACAAGTTTGGGAATGATGACTGTATACTTTATTGAGATTCTAATTTGTGTCATCTTCCCTGCTCCAGATATTTCTACCACCTATTCCAAGAAGAGTGCCAGGCCTTGGTGCCCTTGACTCAGGACTCTTAGAATGCCAGGTGGAAAGCAGCAGATTCCAGGCACCCAGGAGAGTTACCAAATGCTTTTGTGTTGCAGGAGCCTGGGCTGTCCCTGGTGAAAATGGGAAGCAGACAGGGCTTGGGTAGGAGAGGAGCACTTCTTTGAGAGTGGGTGGGCAAGGAATCTGAAGAACTCTCCCAAGACTGGAAAGGGCATGAGATTTTGTGGGTTCCATTTCTACTCTCCAGAGGGAGGAAGAATGACAACCTTGGAAAGGAATTGATGTTTGGTCCCCAGAGGAGCTTGTCCTGAAGCACAGGTTCCAGCCTCAGAAGAGACCCCAAGCTTCATACTTGCCATGGAATCCTAGGAACTGCCCACCCTCAAGGAACACCTCAGCCTCTCACCAGGAATATCTCAGTAGAGAGAAATTATAGACACAAAACCCAATTTCTCATGACCTTGCTGTATATTTAGAAAAATAAAGCACCCTTATTTTTCTTATGCCAGAAAGTTGTGAATTAAAATTTATTGCAAGGACCTGTGTTAGGTAAAGAACCCAAATTCTCACCCCTCTCCCAGCAAGCCTTTGTTCCCACCACCTCCTTGGGCACTTTCCTCAGACCTTTTAGAATAGCCTTCCTTAGACAGCCTGTGAGCCACCGGGGGTGCAGCTGCCATGGCAAGTGCTGAAAGGGGTCAAAATGAACCCCGTTTAACAGTGCCTCTCTGTAGCAGTGACTTTGAGGAGAGGGGAGACAGGGACTGGGATATGCCACAACCTCTCCCCGCTTCCACACTTGGCCCCTAAATAGTTCTCACATCCGCATAGTGTGGTGTCTGGTCATTCTCTTCACTCATTCATCTCCCTAGGCTCCAGGTATAGGAGGAAGATGTGACATGACCTGGTGATGGATGTAGGGCCCGGATGCCCAGGAAGGTGGGTGCCCCAACTCCCTCCCCAGGGAGATGGGGGAGCAGGAATCTTGCCTCCCCTCTGCAGATCCCCACCAGGGCCTCACCCTCTGGCAGAGCCAAGGTGACTGGCTTCTGCTCAAAGTCCGGCGTGCTACAACCTTCAGGGATCTCCTCCACCAGCTGCCAGATGCTCACCCCAGGGATGGAGGACTTCAGGAGCTTCCCTGGAGAAGGCAGGAGAGAGGGTGATGGGTCTGCCCCTTTCTCCCTCATGGGGGCCCTTCAGCAGAATGGGTCCCACTCACCCAAGGAGCAAGAACCCCCTTCTTTCTCTTACTGTTAGGGCAGGATTCTTTGTCCTACCTCCTGCCTGTGAATGGTGCTTCTTAATATTCAAGTGGAACTCTGGTACTGGCCTTCCAACAGTGTGAATGGAGCCCTTAGGAAGTGGGCAGTGGGTATACTGGGAAGATCCTGAGCATGTCCCCAGGAAAAAGCTGGGGGAGGGTAGAAAAGTGCTCCTCCTCAAGAAGCAGGAGCCATGGGGGGAGGGGTTCTGCACCCCTTACTCAGAAAAACCCAAGTCAAAACCCAAAGCCAAACGACAAAAAACAAAAACAAAAAAACAGATTAGGCAACATAGCAAGACTTAGTCTCTACAAAAAAATTAAAATAAACTAGCTTGGGGTGGTGGTGTGCTCCTGTAGCTCCAGCTACTTGGAAGGCTGAGGTGGAAGGATCACCTGAGCCCAGCAGGTCGAGGCTGCAGTGGCAGTGAGTGTGCCCCTGCACTCCAGTCTGGGTGGCAGAGTGAGACTCCAACTCAAACAAAAAAAAGAAAGAGAGAGGGAGGGGAGGGAGGGAGAGAGGGAGGGAGAGAGAGAGAGGGAGAGGGAGAGGGGAAGAGAGAGAGAGAGAGAGAGAGAGCGAGAGAGCAGTGAGTTCCCCAAATCCCTGACCCCTACCCCTTCTCTGGTAAGAAAAGTCAATGAAGGGCTGGAGAAAGGAGGAGAGGTTAGTTGTCTCACCTGCCATAGTTTTGCCTCCTTTTGGGCTCCTCTGAGGGTGGGCCTCGACCTCCTGAGAATAGAGGATAGGATTGCTTATGAGAGGTCCAAGCTGGTCTCGTCTCAGCCCTCCCCACCATCAGTGCATCAGCCAATACCTGGGTTGGAGCTAGAAAAAGCTGCTGTCCCCAAGAGCTTGACTAACTCCACTAACGGCACTGATTGGTTTCCTGCAACTGTCCAGCAAAACCAATTGCCCAGAGACCAGGGAGAAGGTGGGATGCTACCCAACTGGTACCTTTCCTAGGGGCTGAGCCTGCACACTGTGTTGGTGGCCTGGTCTCCTGGTGGAACCCAGGTTTGATGACCACTCAGAGGGTGAGTCACAGCCCTCCCAAACTTGAAGAAGTCAAACTCATTCTGGAGCCTTCCAGCTGTGCCCCCTTGACTTTGGAATGTGAATTCTCTAGGGACATTCTCAGCCTCTTGGCTACTGTCCTAAATCTGAGATTTTCTGGCAGGACCCCACAACCCTCTATCTCCCACATTCTGCCAATCTGGAATCCTTCAGATCACAAGATCTGCAGGGGAGAGTCCTTGACTTAGCTGCTCTTAAGCTCTTCTCAGCCCAGGTCAATGGGTTCCCCATAAATCCATCTGCTCCCCTCTGAAGCCAGTGAATTATAGTGTCAGGTGAACCGGAGTGTTTTCTAGTCTCTCCCCATCTCCTCCCGAGCGCCTGTCAATTGCATCCATCTGTTATGGCCAAGGGAGAGGGAGTGGGCTGACTCTGGGTTGGAATGAGAGCCATAAATTTGGGGGGGTTCTTAAAGGAATTCTCCAGCAATCCTATCCCCTGTGTGGTTGGCCCATGGCCAAGTGGTTCCATTTGGGGGACTCCATTTCTTGCCCAAAGAGCACTGTCGTTAATATAGAATCACACATGACAGAGCAAATGCCTCTCTCCAACTGAGACTCTTCCATTTCGTAACTGACCACCCACTGGCACTTCTGGCCCCCGGCATCCCCTCTACAGTCCAACCGCTTTTCCCTAGTGCGCTGGAATGCCATGGTGCGCCAACTGCGTTCTGCAGCGGTCACAGGCACTACGCCGAAGAGTCACGCGGGAGGCTGGAAAGGGAGGGTAGCCACCAATGGAGGAGGACCCAGTTGGTCATGGCTGGGGGATGGGCTGCAGGGGACTCTAACCCACCCATTCCCCAGGGCAGTCTCCTGGTAGAGGCAAGCACATTGGCACCTGTCAGTGACCCCCAGGTGTGAGTAATTTGATTCAACACAGCCATCTTAGTCATCATTCCCATCTTCATCCTCATCCTCACCACCAGCAGCTATCAGTCAGACATGAATTTCAAGCCATTCACCCTCTAGACCTCCATCATCTTCAGGAATAAGCCAGATTTGTTACAAGGGCAATAATCAAAGGCTGGCTGGAGACTAGAGGGCTATGTTCTCAATCAGCGGGACGGAGAAGGAGAGGAATTCTGTCCTCCACAGCTCATTCCCACATTTGAGAAGAATCTCAGTTCTTCCCAGCACCACACAGCAGCTTGTGTTTTCCCAACTTCAGTTGTCCCAATAAGACTGTCATCCCTGGACCCCAGGGCAGTATCTCCCTGACCTCTCTCCAGGATCACCCTTGGTCCCACCCACTGTTTCATCTTGTGGATCCAAGTCCTTGCTTTCTTCAACTTCTCAGCAGGTAGAAACTAATGCAGGGCCAGGCTCGGTGGCTCAACCTGTAAACCCAGCACTTTGCAAGGCTGAGGCGAGTGGATTGCCTGACCCCGCGGGTTCGAGAACAGCCCGGGCAACTTGGTGAGACCTCATCTCTACAACAACAACAAAAAAAAAATAGCTGGGCATGGTAGTGCGTGCTTGTAGTTCTGGCTACTTGGAAGGTTGTGGTGGACGGATTGCAGGAGCCCAGCAGGTTGATGCTGGGGTGGCCATGAGCATGCCACCGTACTCCAGCCTGGGCGACAGAGTGAGACTCCAATTCAAAACAAATAAATAAATAAACTGAGGCAGGAAGAGTTCCAATGGAGTTTCCCTCAACTGCTTTGACCATGTTATTAATCAAGATATATCAAGCCCCAGCCCTGAGGTCCTTATTCTAGACTGCTAGTGATATTTTTAATCTGGTTACCATATCACACTACTAAGTCAAGCAGCGCCCAGAAAACCAGACCCAGGAAGATTACCCAGACAAGACTCACTGAAATTCTCTCCTCCAAATATCCTGATGTCATCTAGAGGGGACAGAGATGCACCTAAACATGTGATCAGCCAGTTCGGGAACATTCCCTGGGCTACTTTCGTGCTCACTGCCTGCCCCTTCCTCAGCAGAAAAGCTAGAGAGCAACCCAGTGTCTCCATCTTGTCCCTACCCTGGCCCAGGTGGGCAGCCAGATGTGCAGCACCCACTTACCTGGGTGCACGGCCAGCTTCTACCTCTTGTCTGTTCCCTCCTCCCAGTTTCCAGCTGCTGCTTGCTGGAGGCTCTGGGTCGACTGGCGGTGAACAGGGAGGGCTGGAGCAGGTGTCGGTTGCTACACACGCCTCAGCTCCCTCTGCCCCTCCCACTCACACCGCCTCCCTCCTCCTCCAGTCCAGGCTTGGCAGGGTAGGGTCCCCAGGGATAACATCGAGACTCAGAGGAGGACAGAGATGGAAGGGTCCTGTGACATCAGCCCATCCAACTCCTCACTTTGCAGAGCTTTACGCTCTTAACCAGACCGGCTCAGTGTAAGTTTGCTCCACAGTGCCTCATTTATATGAACCCTTTTAGCAAGGATGCTTTCATCATTCAAAGCCTTAGACTTTCGACTAAGCTGGTCCCTTGGGACCTTTGACACCATAAATCACACAGATACATAAAGCCACTGCTCTCTTGGGAATCACGCCTCAAAGTGGTACCAAACAGGCAACAAACTTTGGGAGCTTGTCACAGACCCAGACTCCACTGAGAATGGCAAGGAAAAGGGAGACCCTGGGAATTGTATACCCAGGAGGCCTTCTGGAGAAGGTGAGCCTGCCCAGGAGCTTTTTAAGTGAGAGAATGGGTGACCTGAGCAGCTGGGTTGGGGACTGAAGTTGGCAGGACAGATGGCTGGGTTTTTGAGGATATGCAGATCAAAAGTGGAAATTGGAAATAAGATCATAGGTAACAGATTTTCTTAGGAAGAGTGGAGGGCAAGTGAGGAACAGAAGATGAGGCTGCCTGGTCTGCTTTGAAAGAGCCACCTACTCTCTCCTTAAGGACAGAGAAGTGGTTTGTTGCCACCAGTTAGCAAGGCTTGATCAAAAACTTTGGTCAACTAGAAGGAACACACTGCTAATGTTTCCTTCCAGGGGAGGACACTTAATATTTGCATGAACTCTTTAGCACTTAGCTAATTCTACAAGAGTTACCGCTGCATGTTCTCTGAGCAGGGCGGTGTTTGACTTCTGAAGCTCAAGTGTGTGTGTGTGTGTGTGTGTGTGTGCGCGCGCGCGCGCACGCGCACGTGTGCACACACGCGTCTGTATACACAAGTGCATTAGTGTGTCTTCCCTGTGTGTTTCTGAGTGTCGGTGGCTGGTATTTGATATATTCAACAAATATGTATGGAACACCTACCCACTCTGTGTTGGGCCCTGACTCTGCTACTGTGTGAAGCCCTAGGAATACAAAGGTAAGCTAATGACAGAACCCTTCCCTCATGAAGCTTACAGTCTAATGGGGCAGACAGATGTCAACTCTCCTACAAAGTGGTACAGGCTTTGAAGGAGACCATGGAGAGTCAGGGGAGCCAGAGCTTGGAGAGCAAGGGAAAGAGTGGCTGAGGTGAGTCTGGACAATTGGGCTTTGGAGGCCATTGAAGGGTTTTGATCTCTATAATAAGTGCTATTTGAGGTTTGTTTAAACTGGAAGGGTAGCCAGGCTTGGTGGCTCAGCCTGTAATCCTGCGCCTTTGGGAGACTGAGGTGAGTGGATTGCCTGAGCCCGCGGGTTCGAGACCCACCTGGGCCGCAAGACCTCATCTCTACAGTAAATCAAAAAATCAGCCAGGCGTGGTAGTGCATGCCTGTAATTCCAGCTACTTGAAAGGCTGAGGTAGAAGGATCGCAGGAGCCCAGCAGGGCGAGGCTGCGGTGGCCGGGAGCCGCCACTGCACTCCAGTCTGGGCAACAGAGTGAGACTCCAACTCAAAAATAAATAAATAAATTAAAAAAAAATAAATAAATAAACTGGAAGAGTGACAGGATCCAATTTGTGTTTTAAAAAAAAACCCATTCTGGCTGCAGAGAGAAGTCAGAGGAAGGAGGACGTGAGAGGCAGAAAAGTATAACTCCCAGGAGGGCAATCCAACAGCCAAGGTGCTCTTTCTCATGGCTGGGTCCTGGGCTCCAGCAGCCTCCTGAGCCATGATGCTACATCATCTCAGGAGAGAAAGGAGGATGCTGTGAATAGGGCCCAATACGAAGACTTCAGCATTTCGGTGCCTCTATTGCCCCCCCCACCGCCCCAGCTGGCTAGTGGGCCCTTCCCTGAGGACTAGGGATGGCCAACAGATTCATGAGTCAGGGAGTCCACTACTACCTGGCCTCCATTCCCCATGTTTAAAGAGCAACCCACATGAGGGGTGCCTCTCCTCTCTGCGCTGTATTATACTCGATCCCTCTCCTTGCAGTAAGATGGAAATTTCAGTATTCCAACAGACTGAGGTGGGTCACGTGGCATTTACCGCCATCCCCCTTTGTCCTCTATCAAATGTAGTGTCCAATAATATTTAGCTGTGTCAGCTGGGCTCAGTGGCTCAGCCTGTAATCCCGCGCCTTTGGGAGGCTGAGGTGAGTGGATTGCCCGAGCCCACGGGTTTGAGACCCGCCTAGGCAGGCAAGACCTCATCTCTACAATAAAATAAAAAAATTAGCCGGGCGTGGTAGCGCGCACCTGTAATTCCGGCTACTCGGAAGGCTGAGGCGAAAGGATCGCCGGAGCCCAGCAGGTCGAGGCTGCGGTGGCCGGGAGCGGCCACTGCACTCCAGTCTGGGCGACAGAGTGAGACTCCCACTCAAAAAAAAAAAAAAATTTAGCTGTGTCTGTATGTTCAGCCATCCACCACTTCCTGTGGCATAATCTTATTATACTCTTGTTAGACTTTTTCTTTGGAAGATAAAGAAACCAGACCTTATCTTCATTGATTAGGGGAATATTCATGGCAAAAGAACTCTGGACAGTGAATTTGTGTGTATTATTATTCTTCCTAGTGCCTTATAGAAAGGACTCAGAGAGGGGTAGGGAAATGGTCCCAACTAATTAATGTTCTCCTGTTCCCACAAGAGCAAAATGCATTATATGGCCAGTACTAAGAGCCTCAGGACTCATAAAGATCTCCCTCTCAGGGTTCTCTTGCTCCCCATGACAGGGATTGGATGAGATGATCTCTGAGATACTGGCCAGCTTCAAAATTCTACAGTCATATGACTTGCTGAAGGGGTAAGGCCTGTGACTCAGGAGAGTCTGAATTCATTTACAGGCTACCATTGCCTATGTGTCGTGGTGTAAAACTGGTTCTGCCCCAGCTATCCATGAAACAGTGTCCTCCCTCTCCCCCACCGAGGTCTAGGGAGATGGGCTGGGAGATCAAGGTTCTAGTCCAAGACATCTGCGCGCGCGCGCGCGCGCGCGCGCACACAC